GCGGCGGGCGCCGGCCCGCGCAGCGGCTTCTTCCTGAGCCTACGGCAGCGCGAGCTGCGCGTGCTGCGCTGGAGCCCCCGCGACGAGCGCGTGGAGCCGGCGCCCGCGGCCGCCGAGGAGAGCGAGGCCATGAGGGCGAACCTGCAGGAGCTGGACCGCTTCCTCGGGCCCTACCCGTACGAGACACTGCGGAAATGGGTCTCCCTGAGCAGCTTCATCAGCGAGGCAGTGGTGCAGGAGCTGCAGCCGGAGAGCGGGCAGATCTGCGCCTTCTCCGAGGTGCTGCCCGTGCGGGCCGGCACGCACAGCAAGGACCGCGCCGAGCAGAACCTGCCGCGCTACGACAGCGAGCCCCGGAGCTACGCGGAGGGCCTGGCGCGGCTGCCCGCCATGCGGCCGCGCGCCGGCACCGAGATCCGCTTCACGGCGCTGCCCGCGCACGCGTTCCCCGAGGGCGCGAGCCCGCAGGAGGTGACCCGGCACTGCCTGGACCTGAGCTACGCGCTGGAGACCGTGATCGCGCAGCGCTACCCCGGCCAGCCCCGCCGCTTGCTGGGTGAGCGCCGGGGGAGCCGCGTTGGGCGCTGAAGCAGCGCGGCCGGGGGGAAGCTGCCGTCCTGCGGGCCGTGAGGCCGCGGCGCTTGTAGCCGTGGCTGTAGACAACAGGTTTTGCAAGCTCCGAGGTTGGGGTTATTGCAGCGGGGCCCAAAGGGGAAGCCGGACGCTCTCGCCCCCAGCCTGCAGTGCCCAGACTGCGCCGTGTTGAGCCTGGGCACTGCAGGGACGTGTCTGGGACCTGGCTGCCGCAGGGGGATGCGGAGCACAGATCCCTGCGTGGGGTGAACTGAGGCATCGCGCGCGAATCCACCCTAGTCCCGAGACCGCCCAGTGGGACAGGCAGTTCTGCTGCAGACACATCCGGCTCTCCAGGCTCCTGGTCCCTTTTTGCCAGCAACTCAACCTCTCTGTTTTTATACTTTGCTTTGTAGGCCTCCACTTCCCTTTGCTGGGTTTAATGATGCTTCTGTTCCTTGCAGATTTCCATTTTTTAGGCCTGATGTGGTCTCAAAGTTTTGTGAAATATCTCAGAGCTAGCAAAGAAGGAGCTGTCCACGAGAGAGGCAGCTCCCCTTCTTATACGATTCCGATTGTCCGTTTTGCCCTCTGTGTCTTTTCAGTACAGCCCGTTTCCTTCAAACCCTCTCCTCTCCCTCCTCGGGATGTGGTCCTGGCCATCTCTTGTTGCCACGGTGGCTTTTCAGGAAGCAGTAAGCAAAACGGATCCTTTTGCTATGTGTGTGGAGCAGTCCCCAACACGCGTTGGAGCAGGAGGTCTCTGCTGTGAGCTGCTGGCGACGCTCTGCGGCAGCGCTGGGGATTTGTGAGCTCTGCTGCAAGAGGCAGAGACACGCAGTGTTCATGGGCCCGCTGCAGGCTGTGTCTCCTGCGCTCTGGGTTGCTTGCTGGGCTTTTTTTGATGGCTTGGGATACAAATGAGCGACAGCTCTGAAGATCATCGGGGTTTATTCTGTGCAGGGTGGACTGAGGACTTGGGAAGCTGCCTGAGCTACAGCCTCAAGGGTTGGCTTAAGCCTTTATTGTCACACACCCCCTTGTTTTTTCTCTGTTAACTTTATAAAATTAATTTTTTATCATGTGTGTTTTGTTTTGTTTTACTGAACACCTACAGCGGAGTTGCAGTTTGCTTTCATCTGCTTCCTGATTGGGAATGTGTACGATGCATTTGAGCACTGGAAAAGACTCTTAAATATCTTGTGTCGCTCCGAAGATGCCATAGGGAAGTATCAAGACCTTTACACCAACCTCATTTCAGTGCTGTATCACCAGCTCAATGAGATCCCAGCTGATTTCTTTGTGGACATTGTCTCCCAGGACAACTTTTTAACCAGCACCTTACAGGTATGTCAGTGGCTGTCTCTGCAGGTAGCTTAAAAAATGGGAGTTGGAAGAGAGGGCGTACAGGGCATCAGAGCAAATTTGGAGCAAATTTTCAAAAGGAAGGAAGCTGCTATTGATCTGCATAGGAGGCAGTGAATCCGCGTGCTCTGAACATGCTCCTGTTCTTTCCTTTTTTCCCTGCATTCTTTACACAGACAAACCACTTGTTTGTCTTCCTCTGAGTTCTTTTTCTGCTGAAGTTACACCCAGAGGAGACTAATGCAGCGAAAGGCAAGCAAGTAGAGAGAGGAAAGACTAATGAGAGTGTGAATAACTGCAGTTCAGAAGGGAGGCTGTGTGGCTCCCTTCCCTGTGGCTTTTTTTCCTTTTAGGATGGTTTCTTTGCAAATAATGCGGAAAGTAGTCTGGCATCAGCGTGGCCTGGCTGTGTTTCAGAGTTCTGGATCAGCATATGTGCTGCGAGTGGATTGCACCAGCACACCTTTTCCAAAGGCATCTAAGGTCTTAGGCTATAGTAAGCTACATATAATAATAAGCTATGAGAGAGACTGAGCAAGTGCAATTTTTTTTTGTGTTGCAAGTCATGCAAGTCTTTACGTGTGCTTTTTTTTTTTTTTTTTTCCTAAATGCCATTCATTCAAGCTCGATTTGTGAGTGTGTGTGTCATAAAAGATTGGTGATGCTGGCCTTAGTCAGGCTTGAATGGTGTGATGTTTTGTAGGCCGAGGAGTTGCAGTGATACCTTCTCGAGCTTAAGGCATTGATAGTATATTAAAAGCTTTTCCATTCCTGTTAGTCACGTTTGTTTCCTAGGGTAACGTTACTTGTCTGGAGGGAATGTACAGGCAATCGAGAATGCAGAAAATCGCATATTCTGCTTAGGCTGAGACAGATATGACAGATCTTTATAATTCAGTACTAATAAGACCCATTACTCCCACTCAGGGAAATTATGCTTAAGGCAAATAGTCAAGTTTTATAATGAAGCAAACTCAGTTAAAAATAAAGTCAGATACGTAAGTCAGCAGTGGAAACTTCATCTCAGTGAGAACTGTAGTGGTTTATGTTTTAGTCTGTGGTGTAAATTGTGCATTACCTTCTCCTTTCTCAAAGACATGGATTGCATTTTTCTCCCTGTAATTCTGAGTTGCAGCTGTAGAAAGCAGCAACTCGGGGGTTTGTGTGTGTCTGGTTGGTTTTTTGTTGCTTTTGTTTTTTTTGTCTGAACTCAGCTAGTAAAATTAAGAAGGAAACGTTGCTTTAATCAAGAGAATGACTTCGCTTGACCCCAAGCTTTTACAAATTTGATTCACAAAAAATCAGACATTTTGTTGTTGTTGTTGTTTTTCCTATCCCATTTCAGGACCGGAAAATCCAGCTCTGTTTTTAGCATGCTGGCAGAGCAACCCTTCATCCCATCACATTACAGCAGGACAGAAGAATGTGTCAACCAGGCACTCTTTCCATCCGATGGAACTTCTGGAAGCACCTCTGTGTCTCCGATTATCTTTCCTTTTTGGGTACCCTCGGAGTTCTGGTCTTCACCTTTTCCTTACGCCAGAGGAGTTGGTGGCTTTAGGGTGGCAGGGCCGGTGTCAGCGATCACAGCAAGCCCCAGTGGGGGTCACTGCGCTCCCAGCGACAGGGAAGAAATTTGTGGTTTGACTCAGCCTCTCCGTGTTAAAAATCCTCCTGTTTTCTGCCCGGGGGGTGGCTTCCCTGATGGTTCTGGAATATTTCCAGAGTACATCTGGGACTTACACTCTGTATGCCGAAAGCAGCTGCGTAATGCATCTCAGCTAGGTACAGGCAGGTAGATTGGTAGAAGTGCAAAATGGAGGTGGGAAGAGTGTATTTGAATGCAACAGCTTTATTTTTGGAGTTTAATTTCAGGCAGAAAGAGTTCAGCATAACCACCACTGAGCATACAGGCTCCACAATGTTTAAAGGAGAAAAAAAAAAAAAAAGGTTTATGAAATAAGTAATTTAAGGTGAAATTCTTTGAAAGAAATGTAAAGTATAACTTTATTTTTTTGTTTCTTAACATGTGTTTTGCTCTCTAAAGGAGCTCTAGTGACCTTTATGTACAAAGAGGTATTTAAAGAGGCAGTTTCATGGTAGAATGAACAAGGAAAATGGTCATCCAAAAAGCACCAACCTTTGCTTTTCGCTTTCCGTGTTTTCTCCAGCTGTTAGTTGGATCTCTCCTGCATTGGAGCTTGCTTTGTCCCCAGGTGGTTTCCCTTCGCTGGTTTCACTTCAGTGTTTCCCTGCTCTGAATGTTTCTTTGGCTTTGAAACATAAATCTCTCTCTTTGAAAGTGAATTTTGGGGCACAGATTCAGTACATTAGTAGGAACAGGCAGGTTAGAGAAGGGCTGGATGCAAAATGCCCTGTTTAATCAGATATGGATTTAACTCTCCAAAGTGCTAGCAGAAAGCTGTGAATTTTTGAAAAGCTGAGGAATTTGTGTATGTTTGGATGGCAGGGGCAGGGAGGGAGGGAGAGGAACCAGCCTTCCTTAAAACTTTTTTCCAGGATAGCTGCTTCCTTCCAGGTGGGACTAGCCTGAAATTTTACCTGGTGCACCCTATTGATGAAAAGAGGCAGAGCTCGTGCCAGCGAGTCCTTACTGACATCTGCTTTTTTTTTTTTTTCAGGTGTTCTTTTCCTGCATCTGCAATGCTGCCGTTGATAGGACACTAAGGAAGAAGGCTGAAAAATTCAAGACTCACCTGACAAAGAAATTCAAATGGGACTTTGAGGCAGAGCCTGAGGACTGCGCTCCCGTCGTGGTGGAGCTTCCCGAAGGAGAGAAGCTGGACTGAGCTAAGGGCCTGCTTAGAGACAAGCAGTTCCTTGGAGTAACTGTTTCTCCACCATCTCCCCAGCCTTAGCAGCTTCCTCGAGCCTACTTCCCCAGCTGATGCTATTCCTGGTGCAGAGGTGGATTTGGAAACCACAGAGGCATTTCTCTCATGCTGAGGAGACCTGTTCAGGTGTTGCTGTGTGGCGTCGACAGTTGCTTTGGACACTTCCTTTTTTCTAGCTCTTCGGAGCAGCTCCTCGTTCTGCTCTCAGCCAGACCGTTAGATCCCTGGTCTCTTCCGTCTTCCCTGGGCAAGAGGTGACAGCCTGTTCTAAGAACATCTGCGTTTTAGACTTGGAGCATTTGCTGCTCCAGTTTGCTGCATCCAGAGTGAGAAGGGTAGGCTCACGGCACTGATCATTGCAGCTTTGTGCAGCCTGGCCTCCAGCTGTGAATCACAGAGTTCTGCTCTTCCTAGGTTCACGTTACAGGAGTATAATGAAAACCGTTTCAAAACGGTTAGATACTTGTGTTGTGTAATGTGATTTACGGCAATGGCATAAATTCAGTAGTAGTGGAGGGGAGCTCAAAGCCACAGCAGAATTCCTCCTGTTCTGTACCCCTAGTACGGAGACATATTATCCCTCCAGTTCTTTTAAAAGCCTTTTATATTTACTTCTATCAGTATCTGTTTAGCCTGATGTAAAAGAATACTAATTCTGCTAACAAAAAATACAGTCATTGAACAGTAGCCATCCATGTTTCTAAACAGGAAGCAGTCAGAGTGAGATAAAAGGTCAGACTTTTGCATGGACTGGGCCCTTTTATCTTGTTAGGATTGGAAATATTAAGTATTTTAACAGGTGCCAGTTTCTCCTTTCTCCCAATTTTCTCAGGTAGGCTTAACGAGACCTTGGTGCACATTCATAGTTCTGGAAACCCTGGAGAGTGAGTTCAGTGTATTGGCAGCATCCCTGTTGTGTTATCTTGTAACGTGCACTCTGAAGTGTGTAATCACTAAGCTTTTGGGTTTTGTTGTTGTTTTTCACTCCCCCAAAGGAGAATCCTGCTGTGTAGGGATTTGGTCATTCCGCTTGCTTCTTACTTTCTAGGTCTAGGACTCCTTCAGGAATTTGCCTGCATTTATATCTAGCAAGATACGCTGTTTGTTAATCTTTTGTAGTTCAGAATAAATCTCTTCTCATTGCCTTTCTTACAGAAAACATCTGTACAAATTGTGTGTTAGTTATTTAGCCAGAGTTTATGGCCCCTGGTACTGCCCCATCTCTCTTTAGGATGTCCAGTAACTCCAGAGGTAACATAGCAGTGATATCTGTGACATCCAAGAACATCTCATAGTTAAACGATACATGGTGTTGCATGGTGCGAAATACAAAAATACAGCCTTCCTGGGAGGACATATGTGGTAGTGAATTTCCCAAGTAATGCGGTGCTTGTCACAGGAATCAGCTGTCAGAAGTGATAACCAGTTTTGCTGCTGTCTTTTCCCCTTCCTCAAGGGCTCTGTGTGCTTCATTACTCCAGTGTCTTGGTTTGTGTATTTTAAATACTGACCACAGGCCCTTAGGGGACGTGAATTTGACTGGTGTTGCTTCTATCAATGTGTTGCATTTAATTTTTTTTTCGCACTGTTTCTTGTCCTGAATGCCCTTGAAGATTTTCATATCGTCATTTCATGACGCTCTCCTGTCTTTGTGCCCTTGTTTATATCCATAGGGAATGCTGTCTTCACAGTTGGTATTTGGACAAACCCTTTGCAGTCGGTGTTTCCAGCCTTGATGACAAGTCCTTTTTGGCTTGCTGGCTTTTCTTGCACCACCTTGATGAGGGGCTTTGTTGGTTTGGAGCAGAACACTAATCGCTGATACAAGTAGGAAAGATCACAAGAAGCCCTTCCTGTCTGGGAGGGAGATGGGAAGAATAGGGCTCTTGGGGGAGCCTTTCCCTGGCTGCAGGTGGGGCTAGCGAGGCCACGCTGGTGTTTTACAGGCTGTGCTGGCAGTGCTCCCACATCTTTGCTGAATCTCAAAAACAGTAACTGAAAGCCAGTATCCAAAGTGTCTAACACTCAGGTTCCCCTGGTGAGCTGCATGTCAAGCAACTGAGAAAAGAGATTGTAATCGTCTTTCTGCTGTGTCCTTTTTTCCCTCTCTTTCTTTTTTGCAAGGTTATAGTAAGCAGAGGAGTACTATCTCTTATTAGGCCTGTGAAATAGCTGGCAAAGAAACAGGCCTTTTGCTAGAGGTGAAAGAGAAGCAGCAAACTTTCATCTAAAGACAGGTTGAGGTCAGTTGCTCAGCCTTCAGCATGTTTAATGGAATCATTCGGACACTGGGAGAGAAAAAGGAATCTGGCACATGCGAAACAACACAGGGGATGTGTTAGTAAAAGGGAAGGTCATAAATCTGGGAGGAGAAAGAGGAGGGCTGCTTTTCCTGATGATGTTGGCATGAAGGAGGGTGTAAGAAAACCTGTCGTGTAGTGGAAGGAGCATTTTTTTTCCTTAGGCCAGCTATGGCTTCCTTTCCAACTAAGGCAGATAAAATAACCTGAAACCAGAAGAGAGATTGCATGTGTATGTGTAAATACACCCTACTGCAAGCTAATGAAGTGTAATAGGTGATGTGCTTGCAGCATTGATTCAGCAGTGAATTAGGGTCAGGCCCAGCAGCTTTCGGTTTGTTGTGGAGTGCCACTGAAGCGTGAGGTGTGTTGGCTCTCTGCTTATGTGCAGAGCTGTCCTGCTGCCAACGTAGGCAAGTTAGGCACATTGGTGTCATTCCTGGCCCTGACAAACTTCCATTGCAGCCTGTGTTGGAGCACAGACCCTGCTCAGTCTTGAGGGAAGTGGGTCTCTTATGGATGGCAGAGGGGTGAGCTAACTACTCAGTACCCCTGAAGATGTCCTGCACATCGTGTTTACAGTGCAGACCTCAGTGCAATTTTGTTCGGTCCTGAGAGCTACTGTTCCATTTTTCACTTTGCTCAGTAGCAGTAGCCAGGCTGGAGTTTGGAGATGCAACGATAGTTATCTTGTGTGATGGCCAGTGTGTTCTCCACCACCAGCCACAGCTCCCTCCTGTTTCATGGACCCTGCAAGCCCGAAGTGTTCAGTGTGCTAAGGGAGATCATCCCTTCCTTCCCACGGTGAAGTACACAGTTATTCTACTGGAAATCATGGAGTGTTTACTTTTCCTTCTGCTCAGTGCTCTCCTTGTTGGCCTTTTTCTATCATCGTGCATTTCTAAAGAGAAATGGCACCTCTTGTCCTCTCAGCTCATGGAGCTTCCTTTCTGCTTTGCACCTCTTCCTCCTCAGTTGTTCAAACAGCAGACCATTTCCATCTGCTTTCAGGTGGATTGCTGATGGCAACTTCAGTGCTGAAACTCCTACGACAGCACCATTTGCAGACTTTGAGCAGCACCAAGGTCATATCATGTTATATGCCACACAAACATGTAGAGAAGTTCTTGTCCCACAGCCCTTATCCTCCATACACAAACTAAAGACAACAGGGAATAGATAGGGAAACTGCAGAAAGCCATCAGTGGCAATGCATAGATCTAGTGCTGTGATTTTTAATAATCTTAAGGGAGCTTAGGGTTAATTATTCCTGGAAACAGCAATTATTTTTATTCCTCTGTGTTTTTACTGTGCTGCTTTATGTTAAACTTAATTTTTGATTATTTGCTCAGTAGTTGCTAACAGTAACCCTTCATGTGCCATGCATGTCTTGTTTCAGTTCAGGTCTGTTGTTGTTAATAGCTTCTTTTATTGTTTGCGTTGTTATTTTTGGATTTAAAAAGTCAGAGTGCACAAAATAAATGACCAGTGGACATTCATGCCTCTGAAGCATCTCTCGCTCCTATTATGGTTAGAGTCTTATGGATACACACCACCTTTCTCTGGAGTGGTTTACTTCTGCTGGTGCTGGGGTATGCTGTTGATGCCAGCTGTTACGGATGGAATAACAGGCACTGAACTTGTGCAATATGGAAAAGGATTGACTAAAACATCCTCATCCCGTTCTCTGAAAAAGGAAGTAAAATCTTTCTCTTCTGCTGCTGTTCAGTGTCCAACAAAGCTGTGACAGGGGTTTATTCTCCCTCCTTGTTGCTATATAAGGGATGCGCTATGAATGGTCATTCCTTCGTAATGTGATCAGCTGGTGTTTCATAGCTATTTTTGCTCCTCCTCAGTAAACGTGCATCTCTTGTCCTCACTGCAGGCTGCGGAGCTGACCCAGAGCAGAGCCAGGCTCCATCTGAGCTGCTGCAACCCATCCTGCCGCAGCGTGTTGCACAAACCACCCCATGGAACAGGGAGGAGGAGGAGGCGCCGCGCAGGATGGTGCTGCTGGAGCGTGTAGCTAATGCATGGGAGACATCAACTGCTTGTGGGTCTCGCTGAGGGAGAGTGTCACCTCAGGGACCTCATTAAGAGAGAGGAAAATGAGCTGCAAGGCAGCCTTACTGCAAATAAATCAACACACTCCAAATGGGTTCATTGATAGGAGGAAAAATCCATATGCAGCAACTATCAAAGCCTCTGCTTGGGTTTTGCTGGGCTGCCTTGCTGCGCCGCCTGCCTCAGCAGGAGCGCTGCCTCGCTCTGAGCGCGTTGCATTTTCATGAGGAAGAAGCTGCCGCCAAGGCTCAGCGGTCGCTGCAGAACTCGGCCGTGCAGCTGCGGCGCTGCTGGGGAGGCGCCAGGCCCGGCCTCGCTTTCTGCCAGCCGGGCTCCTCTGCCGCTGCCAGCCGTGCTCGGCAGCCTCCACGCGGGCGCCCGGCGGGCACCCCG